TTCCCTCTAAAATCAGGAATAAGTCCAGGATGCCCACTCTTACCACTTCTATACAATATAGTACTAGGAGTCCTGCCAGAAGGATTAAGGAAGAAAAGGAAATAAAAAGCATCCAAACTGGAGTGGAAGAAGTAAAATTATATCTGTTTCTAGATGATATGATCTTGTATGTAGAAAATCCTAAAGACTCTTCAAAAAGGCCTATTAAAATAATAACTGAATTCAGTAAAGTTGTAGGCTAGAAAATCAACAAATAAATATTAGTTGTGTTTCTATAAACTAACAATAAAGTATCCAGAAAAAAAAAAAATGAAGAAAACTACCCTATTTATAACAGTATCCAAAAGAATACATAGGAATAAACTTATTCAAGAAAACAAAAAACTTGTACACTGAAAACTACACAATATTGTTCAAAGAAATTAAAGATGACACAACTAAATGAATAGCATCCTGTGTTGTTATGGATTGGAAAACCCAATATTGCTAAAATGTCCACACACTCCAAATGATCTGCAGATTCTCAAAATCTCAATGGCATTTCTGCAGAAATAAAAAAATACTAAAAGTCATGTAGAATCTCCTGGGATCCCAAATATGCAAATATCTTTCTTGAGGAAAAAACAAAGATAGATGCCTCAGATTTCCTGACTTAAAGACATATTGCAGAGCCATATGCAATGGAACACACCTGTAATCTCAGCTCTTTGGAGGATGAGGTGGGAGAACTGATTGAGCCTAGGTGTTTGCAGCCAGCCTGGGCAACAGAGGGAGATCCTATCTCCAAAATAAAACCTATCCAAATGGAAAAAAACATATTACCAAGCTTCAGTAATCAAAACAGTATGGTACTAGAATAAAGACAAGACATATGGATCAATGGAGTAGTGAGACAAAAAATAAACCATCAAGTATACGATCAACAAGGGTGTCAAGGCTACACAATAGGAAAAGGAGAGTCTCTTCAATAAATGTTGCTGGGAAAATTGGATATATACACGCAAAGAATAAAGTTGAACCTTTACCTCATACTGTATATGAAAAACTGATTCAAAATGGATTAAGGACCTAAACCTAAGGCCTGAAATTATAACTCCTAGAAAAAACATAGTAGGAAAGGTCCATAACACGGGATTTGGCAATAATTCTCGTACAGGAGGCCAAAAACACAGATAACAAAAACAGAAATAGACAAACTGAACTATATCTAACTTGAAAACTTCTGTGCTGCAAAGGAAACAATCAATACAATGAAAAGGCAACCCACAGAATGGGGGAAAACATTTGCTAACCATATATCTAATAAGGAGTTAGTATTCAGGATATAAAAATAGCTTTGACATTTCAACAATTAAAAAAATATATCATGATTAAAAAAACAGGCAAAGGACTTGAGTAGACACTTCTTTGAAGCAAATAAATGACTGGCCAACAAGTACATGAAAAGATGCTCAATATCACTAATCATCATGGAAATGCAAATCAAAACCATACTGAGATGTCATCTCACACCCATTAGGATGGCTACTATACAAAAAAACAGTAAATAACAAGTGTCAGAGAGGATGTGGAGAAACTGGAAACTTTGTGCACTGGTGGTAGAAATGTAAAATAGTCTAACCACTATGCAAAACATTAGAGTGGCTGCTCAAAATTACCATATGATCCAGCAATTCCACTTCTGGGTATATAAGTAAAAGAACTGAAAACAGGATCTTAAAGATTTATTTGAATACTCATGTTCAATGCAGCATTATTCACAAGAGCCAAGAAGTGGTAACAACCCAAATGTCTATCAAAGAATGAATGCATAAAGAAAATGTAGTATATTCAGTCATGCATTTCTGAATGATGGTAATGTACCTGAGAAATGTATCGTTAGGCAATTCTGTTATTGTGCAAAAATCACAGAATGTAATACACAAACCTAGCTGGGATAACCTACTACACGCATAGGCTTTATGTTATAGCCTACAATCCTAGGCTACAAACTTGTACATGTTATTGTAACGAATACTACAGGTAAATTTAACACAATAGTATATTTGTGTATTTAAACATCAAAAAGACACAACAACAACAACAAGACAGTAAATATATGGTTTTACAGTCTTATGAGACCACAGTTACATATGCAGACTGTCATTGACTGAAATGTTATGTGACACATGACCGTACTTAAAATAGAACACTATTCAGCCTTAAAAAAGAAGGGAATCCTATCATATGCTACAACATGAATGAACCTTGAAGCTGTTACACTAAGTGAAACAACCCAGTCACAAGAAGATAAATGCTGCAAGATTCTACTTATATGAAGTATCTAAAATAGTTAAATCCTTAGAAGCAGAAATAATGGTAATTGCCAGGAGATGGGGAACAGGGAAAATGAACTAGTTATTTCCCTTGCTTAAAAAAGTTATTCTAATATATATTTTAGGACAACTATCATAGCCTGAGATTTTTTTCCCCCATAATACTCTTAAGAAACTTCTCTAGTTAAAATAACAGCAAGAATATTCTTAAGGAAACTTTTTGGTAACAGAAAAACAATTTATTTCATTTTTATTAATTTATTATTATTATTATTATTTTAAGATGGAGTCTCGCTTTGTTGCCTAAGCTGGAGTACAGCGGTGCAATCTCGGCCCATTGCAACCTCTGCCTCCCAGGCTCAAGAGATTCTCCTGCCTCATCCTGCCAGATATCTAGGACTACAGTCACGCACTACCACTGAAACACCAGCTTTTCCTACGTCTGAGCCTGCAGGCCTTTGGACTGGGACTACACCACTGGCTTTCCTTGCTCTCCAGCTTGCCAACTACAGATCTACAGATTTAGGGACTTGTCTCCATAATCCCATTAGCCAATTCCTTATTTTCTTAATACAAATACATAACATTTCCTATTGGTTTTGTTTCTCTGAAGAATCCTGATACCCTAATACAGTTGTTGAATAAATCAGTCAATCAACCCAAGGACTTGTCTAAAATTAGGAGCTAGAAGCAGCTACTACAGATATATACTAAAAGAACGC